TTAATATAACTATAATAAATAAACAGATGCTAGCGGAATGTCAATTTCAATAATTATACAATACAATACTACACAAAACACTATTGGTTGCTAAATATTATACAAAAGGCTATTACAATTGCTAACTGTTACAACACAAACATATTACTTACAAGGCCCCAGCCAAAGGGCTGGGGCTAAGTCAGAGCTGGTGCTACATGATCAGTCAGGTACAGGCAAACAGAGAGCTAGCTTCTCCTCACATCTGGGTTTTTATTCAGTGTAAGTAGGCTGGCCTGTGATGTCACTGCCAGAAGCACAGGTCTTCCTACACACTCCCCCTAATGGTGCCCCCAAAGCATTACACTAAATATGCTTTACTGACATCTAGTGGTGCGTCTAAAGCATTAAGCTCATTATGCTTTTTTTATGACAAAAAGTCATTAATTAATAAATACCATTACAAACCACCCTTTGACTTATGTCATAAAACAAACATTATAAACCCGTACATCTACCCTATTTTAACAGTACCTGCCCTACAACAAAACCCACCTTTTTAAGAATGATACCCATTTACCCGTAAAGTTATGACACTTTATTGCTTATTCAATATTTTTTTTTTTTTTTTTCATTGAGCACATGCATCACCAGTTGGGAATAACCACTGAGCACATGCATTAGCAGTTGGGAAACCTTGGCCTTAAATAGGCAAATACCCACCCTTGTAATAATAGACAACTCAAACCATGTTTTATTAGATTAACCAATGATATTGTGTTCATGTGAGGATGTGTTTTGGAGCTTAATATAGTATTAGACACCACAAACTCATAACACCTATGAATCATGGCACAGACCGACTCGATTTCTGTAGCCTTTGGCTGGTCTGTGTGCCTGGAATTTTCACAAACATTAGTCCTGGAAACTGGATACTCTATTCTTCGACAGTCTCATAGAACATACGCATGGAGACAGGGATGAATGAAACAGTTCATGTGATCAAGGACTTTTGTGTGTTTGTGGTCACATTGTTTTGTTTTTTTCTTTCTTTATACCATTAACCACCTTGACGTAACAGTTTCCTGCTCCTGATGCATTTTGTTCCGACTCTCACCACTCTTAGCTGCAATATTTTTTCTCCTTACAGCAACAGTTGAGCATAGTGTCCAGTGCTTCTTCTTCTTCTGCTTAAAATATCCTTGCTTGAAAGTTCTTGAATGAAAACACAGGCAATGACGAACACAAACATAAATAATAACTGTGCCAATCATCACAAGTACCATTTGATTGTGGTGTCTTAACCATATTTTTTCCTATGGCGTTTGGATAAATACCTACACACCTCTCTTCACATCCAGCACACTCCTGATTCACAGATAAACACAATATCACTGCTGTATCTACCAATTTAACCCAAACACTCGTTATTACTGTTGCATTTACCAATTTAATCTAAACACTCGTTATCACTGCTGTATTTAACCAATTTAATTTAAATATTAACCAAAACAATTTCATTCCTATTTACCACCCTTCTATTTAAACATGTATAGATAACCCAAAATGCCTACTTTCTCTTATCCCTCTTATTTTTTTTTTGTTTTGTTTTTTGAACTGCAACCACTCATGCACTTTACACAGACACAAATCAAGCACCTACTGGACAATGGGGTTCCCTCGTTAGAGCCCTCCCACCCCAGTTTGGTTTACACAAAAATACCCCCTGGTCCCTATGGGTCAATTCCCCCCTTTCCCAGGCAAGCATACATACATACAACAATAATACATAAGGGTTTCAATTGCAATACAATCACTAGAAATAAGAGAATAGTATGCACAAAATCATAGCATAGACATGTTAAATAGACAATAAAATAAAACATTCAATAGCTCATCAAAGGTCAACATTTAAACACTGGTCTCCATCTGATATTCTATCTGTGTTCCAATGTCCACCTCTGGTTTCTGCTACATCTGAAAAGGTTAGGAAACAGATCAGGATTACTTTCCTAGTCACTTATAGCGTATACTGCAAATATTTTACTTAGAATATATATATATATATATATATATACACACACAGACATGTAAACACATTCCTTCAGCTTTTCATTTTATAAACAATTTGTTCAACAAGGTAACTTTCTTAATTTTCTACTCGGCTCTTAAAATAAACAATCAGCTAATAGCTGCTTTCTGCATCTTCCTTGCAATTCAGGAGTACACAACACTAAAAGTCCAATACTCAGTACCCCCTAGCCTAAATTCCCCACCCGCTACTGTAACTAAGTTTACAGCCCACGTTATGGCAGTTCACCCGCTAGGAAGATATGCTCAGTACCCCCTAGTTTAAGTTCCCCACCCGCTACTGTAACTAAGTTTACAGCCCACGTTATGGCAGTTCACCCGCTAGGCAGATATGCTCAGTACCCCCTAGCCTAAGTTCCCCACCCGCTACTGTAACTAAGTTTACAGCCCACGTTATGGCAGTTCACCCGCTAGGCAGATACACAATACACCCACGTATTACTTATTTTATATTTCCTGGTCTCTCAGGGATATACAATAGCTAATCCCCTTCCCAGGGCAATATAAAACTGACACAAACTTTTAAGCAATACAGGATTTCAAATGGACTTATGAGTAACAAATTTCTAGCCAACTTAAACATGTTTAATAACTTTCCACCCTTTGGTTAAATTATAGAGGAGTGAACCACAACACCTCTTCCGCCTCTGAAAGGATATAGGTCAATATGTCTCAAAGTTCAACACTTCTGACAGCTATGAGTGACTCCCTATTAATTTCTAGCCTTTCCACGGACATGCTTGCACCTCGCGGCTAAGGGCCTGCACAACTAACCACCCTGTGATGGCAGTGGCTTTCCGCATGGGGGTGACCGCCCCCGCAAAATTATAGAGGAGCAAACATACAGCAGCCTCTTTTCCGGCTCGATTAAAGGTTCTGGGCCAATATGTCTGCAATTTAACCAGTACACTCACGTATCACTTATTGTATATTTCCTGGTCTCTCAGGAATTTCTATTAAATAGCGTATCCCCTTCCCAGGGCAATATACAACAAAAACTAGTCACCAAGGGTCTCTATGGTCATGATAGGCCACCCTACCACTAGTGTAATACGCCCTTTTTAAAATATATTTCCTGGTCTCTCAGAGATTTTGCCTATCCCTTTCCCAGAGCAATATATATAAACAATTACAAATAAGTTACAAAACGCTACTTATAAGTAATACAGGGTTTCAAATAATAATACAGGATAGAACTGCACAACAACTATTGGGTATGCTCCCCCTTATCCGGACACGTTTAAATACCCCCTAGCTCAGGTTCCCCACCCGCTACTGTAACTAAATCACAGCCCACGTTATGGAGGTTCACCCGCTAGGCAGATACACCCTAATTCAAAGCATGGAAATATTAAAATCAGTTATAGATGGCTTCTAAAATAATATAAATCTTAATCTGAGCCCCTACACTTACTTTGTTAAAAATGCTAACTTGTTAAAATATTCAGACTAAATAGGACAAAGGAATTATTTTACCATTTTTCAGTTCATTTGTTACCAGTTCCTGCATATGTCCAGTAATTCCTTAGTCCTGGATAATAAAGCTGAAAAACACTCCACAAATTGATTAGCTTAGGCAATTACATTTACAAAACAATGCAGTTTATTTTTTCTCATACAGGCAAGACTACCCACCCCCAACAAGGACAAATTCTCCCCCAGCTGTAGCTGAAAAGCCTGGTCACACAGCTGTTAAAAAGGTGGTCTCTCCTTCATTAGTCAAAATCATATATATATTTATACTAATATTCTGTGTATACGCACACATAAATCTATTATTCACTGAATCTGCTTTACTAAACGTATCTTTTTCTTAACTACTAATTTAATACATTTTGTCCAAATCTCTTTTCAACTAGACAAATCCATGAATGCCAAACAAATGTAAATTAGTACACAAACAGGGTCAAATTTAGCAATAAAACCTGGTGAACTAGTTTAGTGAAAAGTCTTTTCCTATGCAAATGGTAGCAAACAATGAAACTAGGCCTCAACTCATTCACACCATGTGGTCAATGGTGGATTAAAATCCACATGGTCAGACAAAAAGTAAAATTGTTTTTTGTTTTATATATAAAAATGACCAAAGGTTGGTAAAACGTAACAAGCAACACAATAATTCATCACTATGTTCTTACAACAAGAGATACCTTAAAAAACAAATATCTAATCCCTATCTGCTATCTGCATTCATTCCATTAAAACCAAATCATCATTCATTTATTCATTTGTATACAGACAGACAATTTACAGTATGATTTAAGCAAAATGCATAACATTTATATTTTCCCCAATATTCAAGCATAATCCTGTCGACTACGCCAAATGTTGTGGTGTGACCTAAATATGAATATTAATCTCTTAATACATAATAATTAAGAAATACGGAACAACATTAATATTTTTATAATTCATGGTATTATGGTCGAATATGTGGATAGAAAATACACAAAACGTTGTAATATTAAATGTATATTTACTATAACTATAACAAATAAACAGATGCTAGCAGAATGTCAATTTACTACAATTATGATACAATACAAAACTACAACATATTACTTACAAAAGGTTGCTACATGTTACACAACATTTTACTTACAAGGCCCCAGCCCTTTGGCTGGGGTTAAGTCAGAGCTGCTACTACATCTTTCAGGTACAGGCAAAGAGGCAAAGAGACAGAGTTTTCTCCTCCATCTGGTTTTATTCAGTGTAAGTAGGCTGGCCTGTGATGTCACTGCCAGAAGCATATGTCTTCCTACACACTCCCCCTAGTGGTGCCCCCAAAGCATTACACTAAATATGCTTTCTTTATGATGTAAAGTCATTAATTAATAAATACCATTACACCTCCACTGGTAAATATTCTGATATTCCTCCACTGGTAAATATTCTGATATTCCTACATTGGTAAATATTCTGATATTCCTCTATTGGTAAATATTCTGATATTCCTCCACTGGTAAATATTCTGATATTCCTCCACTGGTAAATATTCTGATACACCTCCACTGGTAAATATTCTGATACACCTCCACTGGTAAATATTCTGATACACCTCCACTGGTAAATATTCTGATATTCCTCCACTGGTAAATATTCTGATACACCTCCACTGGTAAATATTCTGATATTCCTCCACTGGTAAATATTCTGATATTCCTCCACTGGTAAATATTCTGACATTCCTCCACTGGTAAACATTCTGACATTCCTCCACTGGTAAATATTCTGATATTCCTCCACTGGTAAATATTCTGATATTCCTCCACTGGTAAATATTCTGATATTCCTCCACTGGTAAATATTCTGATACACCTCCACTGGTAAATATTCTGATATTCCTCTATTGGTAAACATTCTGATATTCCTCTATTGGTAAATATTCTGATACACCTCCACTGGTAAATATTCTGATACACCTCCACTGGTAAATATTCTGATATTCCTCCACTGGTAAATATTCTGATACACCTCCACTGGTAAATATTCTGATATTCCTCCACTGGTAAATATTCTGATACACCTCCACTGGTAAATATTCTGATATTCCTACACTGGTAAATATTCTGATATTCCTCCACTGGTAAATATTCTGACATTCCTCCACTGGTAAACATTCTGACATTCCTCCACTGGTAAATATTCTGATATTCCTCCACTGGTAAATATTCTGATATTCCTCCACTGGTAAATATTCTGATATTCCTCCACTGGTAAATATTCTGATACACCTCCACTGGTAAATATTCTGATATTCCTCCACAAGTAAACATTCTGACATTCCTCCACTGGTAAATATTCTGATATTCCTCTATTGGTAAATATTCTGACATTCCTCCACTGGTAAATATTCTGATACACCTCCACAAGTAAACATTCTGACATTCCTCCACTGGTAAATATTCTGATATTCCTACATTGGTAAATATTCTGATATTCCTCTATTGGTAAATATTCTGATATTCCTCCACTGGTAAATATTCTGATACACCTCCACTGGTAAATATTCTGATATTCCTCCACTGGTAAATATTCTGATACACCTCCACTGGTAAATATTCTGATATTCCTACATTGGTAAATATTCTGATATTCCTCTATTGGTAAATATTCTGATATTCCTCCACTGGTAAACATTCTGACATTCCTCCACTGGTAAATATTCTGATATTCCTCCACTGGTAAATATTCTGATATTCCTCCACTGGTAAATATTCTGATATTCCTCCACTGGTAAATATTCTGATACACCTCCACTGGTAAATATTCTGATACACCTCCACTGGTAAATATTCTGATACACCTCCACAAGTAAACATTCTGACATTCCTCCACTGGTAAATATTCTGATACACCTCCACTGGTAAATATTCTGATATTCCTCTATTGGTAAACATTCTGATATTCCTCTATTGGTAAATATTCTGATACACCTCCACTGGTAAATATTCTGATACACCTCCACTGGTAAATATTCTGATATTCCTCCACTGGTAAATATTCTGATACACCTCCACTGGTAAATATTCTGATATTCCTCCACTGGTAAATATTCTGATATTCCTCCACTGGTAAATATTCTGATATTCCTACACTGGTAAATATTCTGATACACCTCCACTGGTAAATATTCTGATATTCCTACACTGGTAAATATTCTGATATTCCTCCATTGGTAAATATTCTGACATTCCTCCACTGGTAAACATTCTGACATTCCTCCACTGGTAAATATTCTGATATTCCTCCACTGGTAAATATTCTGATACACCTCCACTGGTAAATATTCTGATACACCTCCACTGGTAAATATTCTGATATTCCTCCACTGGTAAATATTCTGATATTCCTCTATTGGTAAATATTATGATACACCTCCACTGGTAAATATTCTGATATTCCTCTATTGGTAAATATTCTGATATTCCTCCACTGGTAAATATTCTGATATTCCTCTATTGGTAAACATTCTGACATTCCTCCACTGGTAAATATTCTGATATTCCTTCACTGGTAAATATTCTGATATTCCTACATTGGTAAAATTTTTTACATAAAATGCAGCAAGTACGAAAGGTAGCATAAGCGCTAAGGAAGTGATTAAATTAATTAAACAGTAAATTAAGCTGCAAACACTGTAAGTAATGACTACCCCCAATACCTCACTGAAAAGAAACAAAACACAAAAAACAGGTTGCACTAAGTATTGTGTGTATTAAGTCAAATTCGTTGGAAAATCCTGGCTTGGATTAGTCCAGGCTTTACTTGGTGGTAATTTATATGTAATAAATAAGGAAATAACCAGTAAAAGTGCAGATGGGCAGATACTTTGTATAGGACACACAACAAGGATATGTGGGATCACACTCATATTTGCTATAGACCAGCTCTGAGTAAAACAACATATAGCGGTATAATAACCACTGACAGTTTCTCTTGTACAATTGGCTCGAAAAAAAGAATGTTCATCAGGGCATGACAACCACGATGGTGGTTCCGTGCCCCACATGTATGTATATATATATAGTGATTTTTCGCTGTATATGTACACCTGCGCCCTGTGGGCCCCGGCTCCTGTTCACTGCAGTGAAGGACCGCAGCACACTCCATCTTCCCTTCCCAGCAGCTCCTCTGTGTCTAACTTTTGCAGTTACTATACACACAGTACCTCCACTATACACACTAAATCCACTACGCATCTCCCTT